CCCCCCCCCCCCCCCCCAGTACAGAGTCAGAATTTACACGTTTAAAATGTGACATGAGGCTTTCATTCTAATTAGCATAGAGGAATAAAAGTTTGCTTTAGAAGAGAAGGGTCCTCTTGCTATGTTTGTTTGTTGTTTGCGTTGGTTGTTAAGGCTTGTATATAAGTATCTGAATCTGGTCAGTCTCATCCCCTCCTCACATTCCTCTGCTCAGCTACTTCTCATCCCATGAATTTCAGAGATGGAGGGTCTGGAAGAGAGTGGGAAAGAGGCTGGAACTGGGCAGGACACAGGCCTGGCGGAGTTAAAAGCCAGAGAGGCTGACATGAATTCAAGTGAATTATTCAGCATAGCAAAGCAAAGTGGTTTGGGGCTGGAAGAAGGGGAAGCTGAAGTCTACCAGAAATGCCGTAGGGATTTGGGATGGGGGCTTGTGGGCTCTTGAATGGTGAGTCTGCTGTAGTGCATCAGTGCTGCGGGTATCTGTGCTGAGTGACATCTCTCGATGAGAGCTGAATCCTGCAAAACCTTACCAGAGGCAGTGAGCTGGTTGTGTTGTATTGCAAGGACTCCGAGATACCACTTCATTTTCTTGTTCTGTTGGTCTTCCCTCTAAATCACTTCAAACTGTGATTGTTTAAAAGGATATTACTGTGTTTGAGTTGAATGTGTTCATGTTCTCTGGCCTCGTACTTCAGAGTGCACAGTTTCATATGCCATGTAGGAGCCTGTCAGTAGCCAGCACTTATATAATAACTGTAATTACTTTAAAATAATATTTCAGAAATAAAAGTGGATTGACAGTTGCTTGTAAAATCAAGTAAGAACATTGTGGTTCCCAGGTATTTCTAGGAGAGTTTTCCAGGCATGGGATATGACTGTGTGGCTTTTTCAGGGTAGTAGGCAGTATCCTGGAATTTCAGGAAAAGTGTCCTCTAAATTCCGCAAAATTTTCTGTAGATGCATTTGCAGTTATTGGTATGGTTTCAGGGAGAAATGGATGTAGGTTAACAACATTGATTTGTGTGGGAGTTGTTGTTTGGAATTTTTGAAGTCTGTGTGAAAGGAAACTTGCTTATAGTATCTAAACGTAATTTATATATAAAACCAGATTGATTTTTCAGTTGCTTGATCCAGACCAAATTAAAATAAATTACTATACTTGTATTGATTGATGTAATGTATCAGAGCTAAAAATATTCCTCTTTTTTTTTTTCATGTACAGAAAAGATGAAAAGGAGTATGCACTGAAGCAAATTGAAGGTACAGGGATATCCATGTCGGCCTGTAGAGAGATTGCAGTAAGTGTACATAAATGAAAGTATTTTTACTAACATTATTATTCACAGATATTTTATTTTCTCTGAATTAAGTAACATAAAGATTATATAAATGTTTTCTTTAATGTGTGTAAGCATGAAAGTTATTAAAAAATGAGCTTTTCTTAATATGCTTTCTAAATAATATGTTGGGGTTTTTTCAGTGGAAGGAGGTGTTCTTGCTAGGTAGTAGTAATGCCTCATTCTGGTATAATTTTGTTTTGTCTGCTTTTGTGTGTTGAGAGGGAAATACATGTGCACCTTTTAATGAAGATTTATTTCAAAAAGGGATGTTTTGAAAATGACTTGAAGGAAAAAGGTTCTGAAAGATAACAACTGCTTGCTAATAATGTATTTTATTTCAGACTAATGGTAGCTTACTCTTCTTTAGTACCTGAGAACAGATTGTTCTCTTCATTCTTTATTTGTTTTCCTAAGTACAGAGAAATTTCATAGCAAAATAAAAAACAACTTTAATTGTATTTTTATTACATGTGTCGTAAGGGAAAAGATGGATTCAGAAATTACACACTTTTGAGCACAGTAGTGCCCATCATTCCTTCAAAGCTGGTAAAAATTAGGTGTTTGTGTAAGAAGGTAGAATTTAAATGTTTATTTTATGAATGATAATATGCAGTAGTGTCAAAATGCTGGATAGTGAGTAAAAAAACATCTTGTAATGCAAGAATTTCTTGCATTGCAAAAGAAGTGCACTTGCTTGACTAAATATTTACCTTGATTTAATGCTGTGACTATGCTGAGGGCTGTTGAAATATGTTAGTGTTGTGCCTAAAGCTTTTTCTAATCCAGCAGTGTTACATTGAAATACAGCAATCAGGTGTGCAATGCGGTGTGAGCCATTAGAAGCTCATGATGTTCATGACCTGAACAAACCACCGTATTGCGTTTAGCATAGTGCCCCCAGTAATTCTGTATGAAGAGACTTAGCAGATAAAACTACTATCCTTTTAAAGTGCTTGTCACTATAAGGTCAAGGTCACTCATGGATTTGAGAGGTGGCTGCGCTGCTGTCAGTCACTTTACACAGGATCTACCAGTGCCCTTTTTGCTAATACTTCTGCCTTTGGAGGAAATAAGAAAGCCCTTTTTAACATCAGTACTAGATTATATTCTTCTTACTATAAAGTCAGCTTTGGCAGCACTGAAGGTTTCTTTGTTTCTTTGATTCTTGTCCTTTGTTTTAAATTGTACTACTATGGAGATGTGTGGAATGGTCTGAAAGACACTTTCCTGTTGTCATAATAGCACTGTGGTATGGAGCTGGTTCTGGTCATACCTGGACACAACATCATTGGGAAGTAAAGAGTGTCAAATTAGGTTTTTTCTCTGATGATACAGCACCATTTCAGTCTTGATTTTTGGGTTGTTTCTAAATATTTTTTTTAATTTTTTTTTTTTTTTTAGTTGATAAAGCTTTGTGCAAGCTCAGTACAGCCTGGGAAAATTCACAACTATTGTGACAGTTGCTTGAATCCCCTCAGTGGTTCTTCCTGTAATTCTTCTTCAAATGATATTTTACTCTTCTTTCTCTTCTTTTTGACTTTATTGCGAAACTCTATAATCTGCAATAATGTAGCAAATCACTGTTTACCTCAGTGAAATTTCAGGTTGGTCAAATATTAGAAATGTGAAAAAGGTAAAGGTGAAATAGTTGAAAATGAAATACGAACTTTTTGTCATACAGCAGCAAGCAGAATCAAGTGCATTTTCCAATAAAGAGAAGCAGACTTATAATTAATGCATTAATAGTTAATCTTGTATTTAAAGGCTTAGATAGGTAACAAATAAGGTAATGTTTACTGATTAAATAAAGATTATCAGCCTGGAAAGAGGCCATGTTTAAATGTCCTGAGTCGTTCTTCTGATGTTTAGCCCCCCTTACAACCTCTCCCTCCTCCCCCCCAACACCAAAAAAACCCCCACACCAAACCCTCACCCATATTCTGTGGAAGCTGAGAAACTGAAAGATGCACTGATATACGTGGTTCTGTGTGTGTGTGTGTTCAGGATATTTTAATAATTCTATAACCTGAAGACACTTTACAATGTGCTCAAGAAATAAATTGCTGAAATAAAAGACACTCAGTTTTGCGGTCCAAGACCATTTTGTGTGTAGTATTGCCTCAGCAAACAGAATAAGATCTATTGGCTAACTTTCCCAAAGAGAAAAAACAGATTACTCTTCTCTTCTGATGGTACAGATCACATTGGTCTGTCTTGCCTTATGTTTTCCAAAGTTCTAAGCACTTTTTTACCACTATTGATACAAGCTCTACATGGAAGAAGCCTTACGTCAGTGAAGACATCATACAGGCAGTCATTCTTGGGGCAAGTGATGATGTCATTCTTTCAGCTGTAGGGTGATACCTGCTGAAGGAATCTGTATTTCAGCCAATTCTGTTGTACTGAGTAAGAAAATACTAGAGGGGATTTTTATATGATAAAGAATTGTAGAGAGACAGGGGAAAAAACTGGAACCAGTGATGAATGAAATGTTTTCCTTATTGCTTGAACACCAGGGTGGGATTTCTAATTCTTTTTGTAATGTGGGGGGAAAAAAATAATCCTGAATTCCTAGAGCTATTTATAGACAAAATGGCTCTAGGAATTTGTTAATTCAGTTTGCATTGTGGAAGAGAAAGAAAATATATTTTTAGTCACTAAAGCCTTAAGAAAACTCTGTTCCTTTCCAATCGGAGGTGGGACGTAAGAGCATATTCATTGCAAGGTGGTCTAAAGATGTACTGGAAGGTTGTGCAACAAAAGGGTGTGTGATTATGCTATGGGGTTTTAGGTTGAGGATAGAGATTTCTTGATGCAGAATGAACTTTCCTGTATCTCTCGATTTGAAACAGGGAAACTAAAGAGTAGAACGTAATCAAGTGTGGAGATAGGCAAGGATAATAAACTGGATTTGTAAATTATCTGACGTGTTTTGGGAAAAGGTTTCTTCAATATGCTGAAAAGGTAACTTAGCTACATTTGGGGGGAAAGGAAGACTTATTCAATTCCGTCTTTGTTTTACTTCTTGCTCCTTACTTTGTCTAACTAGCTTTCTTACAACAGCAGGTGGAGACAGAAGAAACAGACCAGAGGGTTATTATTTGTTAGGGCTGCTTTTTTTTTTCTCCTGTGAAGTGTTTTGGCCATCATCTGCTAAGAACCAATAGCTGTGATTCTGTAAAACGATTTTTTAGTATTTCTGTCCATTTAGTAGGAATAGAGCTCTGCCTTTCAGATGCATTTCTAATAAGCAGATAAGCATTTGGTAGTAATGAAATATTATGATTATAAGCTGCTTGGCAGTGAAATACAATGAAGAAACATTGGTTTGATAAGCTCAAATAAAAGTTGTAAGTTCCTCTTGTATCCTGCCTTGCTCTTCTGAGGTTTCTGGGTCGTCACTGAAATTAGGTATGTTTTGCAGTGTTCTTGGAAAATTTTGAAGGGTCTGAGCTTTATTCCCACGTTTTTTTTGGGGGGTTTGTTTGTCACCAAATACACATTTAATCTAGTACTTAGAACAGTTCCCTGGTATAAGTTGCACATATAGATTACAAAAACATATCAATGACAAATGAAAAATTAAGTTCAGTTTTCCTCTGAAAAGCAGTCAGTGTTTCTAGTGTATTCTGGTTGTTCTCTTACTGAGGCAATTCCACATAAGTATATTAAATATAGTAGTAAAAGTGTCCTGGAAACCAACAAAGTATTTGTGGCAGTTACTTGTACTGTGATGAATACAGTCTTGTTCTGAAATTCTTCTTAACCTAAAAGAGGATAGTTTAAGAATGGGGGTTTTTTTAATAAGATAATTTTTCCCCCTAGAGCAGAGCCTGTGGGCTCTGCTTACACTACTAAAAGCCTCATGTGAACCAGTGACTTGAGTTAGGTCCTAGGAGGCTTTTCTGTCAACTCTTGATTCCTTCCAGCTTTTCTCCCCATCCCCAACACTGAGAACTTCCCTCTTCCAAGGATAAATTACCAACCCTACCCATCTTCTCTGTAAATTGTGATCTTAATTCTAAACTTGATTGAATTTTCCTATATAAGGTTATTTTTTATAGCTCAGCAGCCTGTTTTTTTCTGTGGGAGGAAAAAAAATTAGACTGGACTGTTACAGATGATTTAAATGGGAGGAGCGGAGCCACAGACCAGCAGCGTTTCTCTCCCAGTTATGGGTCTGGGACACACAACCATTTTAGTTGCCACATCCTGTGCCTGTGTGTGCTAGTTGCTAGTGAAGCTGCTAGAGGCTGCTCCTTCTGGGAGACCTTGAAATGCTGCCAGTACACTGTGGGACACTTGTGGGAGCATTAGTTGGCCTTTGTGTTCATACTTGCGTTTATGGGGACAGATTAAAATAATGTTAAATGAGTTACTGAAAGCTCATTTGACCGATTTACTGTGCACAGATTCTTCTCCGGTGTTTTGCCTATTGATGCAATGTATATTACAGTGTGCTAGAGGGTACAAATGTTTTGGCATCCTCAGTTTCTGAGGGCAGACAGAGTTTCAGAAGCCTTGCAGGTTAAACAATAGGTTTTTGTAACCTTTCTGTGTTTCTCAGCTCTCTTGAGCAAGGCTGTCTCACTGTATTTATGTGGGTTTTTTTCATCCCCCCTGCCTTCCTTTGCACGTTGGCAGCTCTTCTGGGGCTGCATCTCCCTCCTCTCCACTTTGGGGGTCTGTGGGGATGCGGTGCTGAAGCTGAGCCAGGGCAGTCCAGCTGGACTTAACTGTCTCTGGCTGGAAGCACGTTGTGCCTTTGCCGTCTGCTTCTCAGTAGCGTGGCACAGGGATGCTCAAGGGGGCACGCTGTGCCTTGGTGGCAGAGCTGGTAAAGCTGCTTTGCTTTTGCCCCGGTCAGGTGCCACACGTCACTTACAAGCCGCTCTCGCCTCCCTGGTTGGAAGCCGCTTAGTCAAATGAGCTAAATGTGAAGCTGCTTAATTTGAGAC